TGATGATCACAGGGACCGTGATTTTCTTTGGGACGAGGTGGCCAAGATGTGACGATCGATACAATGGAGAAAGTCCAAGGCTCGGGCAGAAGAGTGAAGACGGCTCACGAGGTTGGTGACTGAACTTTACTAAGAGGCTGGCCAGCACCTGCTAACTCAAGGCAGGTCGTGCAGCAAGAAAGACTGAGACCTGCATGGGGAGTGAACTGTGAACTCCACATAGCAGGCTGGGTTGAAGTCCTAGCCCCATACCTGTGAGTGGGACATTGTTGGGGGGAATTCCATGCTTTCCTTTACTGGTGTTATGTTAAAAGATGGCAAACTGCAGTTGATGAGTGGTGTATCATGAAAGGAGAGGACAGACGGGGGGGAGTCATAGACCAGAGAAGACCCATGTGACAGACCAGAAGAAGCTACAAGCCAAGAGACACCAACAGCTACTTTGGGTTCAAGACACTGACCAGAGATATGGAACAATTTGGAGCAGACAGCAACCTGTTGTTACAGCAGGCCTAGAAAATTGAGAGAAATAAAACAGCAAGAACCTCGAAGAACAAGATTTTATATGGAAAAGGCCAGCCATAGGATTTCATTAAAGCCTGAACCACTTTTTGAAACATTAACTATTTCGCCGTATCTCACAACTAAAGTGTTAAAACACATTTTACTTTTGTGGAAGAATCAACTACTATCCATCTTTTCTGTTATAGGGAGCCCTGGGAATACGGGACGGTAGATGTTGGGCTGCTAACCAAAGGTTGGCAGTTCAAACCCACCAGCTGCTCCATGGAAGAAAGAGGAGGCCGTTAGCTCCTGTAAAGTGTGGCACCTCAGAAATCATATAAAAGGTGCTATGAGTTGGAATCGACTCAGTGGCAGTGGGTTTCTTATTCTGGCTTTTCCATTTCCAAAGAAATAAAAGCAGAATTCCAAAAATTAGAGAGAAAAAAAACAAAAACCTATAATCCTACCACCCTAGTGCAACCGTTACTGTATTAACTTTAAACATAGTTGCAATCACATGTAAAACCATGTCTGAATTGTTTTCCAAACCGTAAGCATTTTCCCCTCAATGGTTATACAATCCAGAAGCATTTTTTAAACCATATGCACTTGTCTGTGTTACTTTAAACCATTGCACGATATTTTATCAAGGAGGTTTTCAAAATTTATACATAAATTCTCCTATCGCTCACCTAAGTTGGGCCATGCATAAATTATGCAGGGGTATAAATCAGCACATGTAATTTACATCACTGCTC